GCAGCAGCTTGGGATCCACTCACCTAGCTGTGTTGTCTCAGTTTATATCCAGGGCTTTGTCGGGGCTGCTGGGACAAAGGTCAGCAGTAGGTCTGCGGCTATCCTCAGGTCTCTGGTTCTGAGCTGCAGCCTTTTCGGAACCTTTTTTTTTTAACCTGTGAAATGAAAACAATTACACCTTCCTTGTACGGTTGTTGTAAGAATAAAATAGCACAGTATATATAAAGTGTTTACGGAATGATACTTGTGGTAGTGTCCATGTTATTTCTTCAGTATTAATACTATTCATGGTAAGGAACACTATCAGTTTCTACTGTCTGAGATACAGAAAACATTGCCATATTAACTTGACTCTTGCCATTTCATCTACACTCTTATGATGAAATTAGAACAATTTAAGATATGAATAAAATAGGTCTTAGATTCAAGAAAGCATGGCATTTTTCAGAGAGATTTTGGGTTGGCATCTCATTCTACTACATTTTTTTCCTATTTACGAGGATGCCTGGAAAGTTAGAGGATGATCTATCCTGGTGATCTTAAAGAAGTCACCTTTATCTCTGAGTCATAGAGCAGGTTTTGGCAAGGGCACTCATTACAGAGTGCTTGTAAGAATAAAAAGAAAAGGACTTAGAGACAGTGAACTGCTGCACAGATGAAAGGTCTCATGGAAGTTTAGCTTCTGGCACTGATCAATCTGGGTGAAATCAGGGTAAGATCCTCTTTCTCATAGTTGACATTCACTTTTCTACCTTTCAGGTTCTATTTCACCAACTGGCATGGGACCAATGATAATGAGCAGTCAGTATGGCGACATTCTCCAAAGAAGCAGAAAAATGGCTATGAGAAAAAAAAAGTTCCAGATGCCACCCCTCTCCTTGATGCCAGCTCTTTAGAGTATCTTTTTGCTCAGGTAAGAAGTTTGGGTCCAGGAGAACGTGCAGTTTGTAGGACGGGTGAGATTTTGTAGGGTTCAGATTTACTGGTGCAACCAGACTTTGATTTCAGTAGTAGCTAAGGTGTTTTATGTCCTGGGTGATTCTTGCCAGATCTGGCCTTGGCCCAATGAGAATGGACTGGTTCTCCCACTTGGTGGGTTTTTCAGGCTTCATTTCTTCCAAATTTCCTCTCCCATCAATGCCTACTGTTTTGCTTTCTGTTTGTAGTGGTTCCTGTGCAGAGCACAGAGAGAAGCTGTAAGTGTGGGAAGGTGTAGTTCAACAGGACTCCAAAGACATTTCTTCTCAGCAGTCTTAGTAATGTTTGGGGAGGAAGGTGGCCACGCTGAGTCACTCTGGTAGTCAGCCAGGAAGGTTAAATGCTAGAAAAAACAAGAGGTATTAGAGTCACCTAAATTACATTACCTGAGAAATTAATGTTTTGTTTATATACTTCCTGATTTTGCCATGCAAATATTTTATTAGGTGCTATATGGGTTTTGAAAATGTCTTGCTGTTTATATCATTTTATAAGTGCTTTTTATTTATCCTGTTGATGACCTTTCAAATAGCAATTAAAAATATGGCTCTATTTTAATGGCTTCACTGCAGTTCATTTATTGAACAAATATTTACTGAGTATTTATGTTGTCTTTGTGGAGGCACTACAGATATTGTTATGAACAAGATAGGTGTGGTTTCTGTAAGCACCAGATGTATAGTCAAGTTAGACAGACAGAAATCAAGCAAGCAAATAACAATCTATAATATATAAGGTTATGAGAAGTGCTATAAAGGAAAAAGCTTTTGTGATGGAGAATAATGGGAGGTAGATTTGAATTGTGTATCAAAGAAGATCTCTAAGAATCTAACATTTATACTGAATTTTGAAAAATAAAAAGATTCTGCATTCTTTTTAAAAAACTTTTATATATGTATTTTTACATCATTCTTTATTTTGTATATATTTTTTAATCTCAATTATATCCTTGTGGACGTCTCACCACCAGTTCACCCATGCAACATCATCATAGTCCCAGGCACTCTTCCTGCCCCCAAATAGGATCAAAACTGGGGATTCTGCAATTCTAAGGCTGAAATAAGGTAAAGATTCTTATTGATCTATGGCACAGATTTTCTAAAGCAACACTACTGATATTTTAGATTGAATAATTCTTATGAGGGATGTTATGAGGGATGTTACTGTGCGTTGTAGGGTATTGTACCTGGCCTCTACTTAGGGTTATCCCAATGCACTGGCCCCCCCCCCCCATTGTGACAATATAAAATGTCTCCAAGTACTGCCAAATATCCCTTGGAGGACAAAAACTCCCCACAGACTGGGGACAGATCACATAAACCCTTGTATGAATGGTACAACATATAAATTTTAAAAACATCGTTTTACCCTGAGTGCCAGGCTACTCAGGATACACTAAGCCAAACCAGAATTTCCCTTACCTGGACCAAGATAGCAGATTCTCAGGTAGTGTATATGGAATGACCTCACTACAACCCACTTTCCAAATATCATCATCATCACCTTCAAACATAAGATCAGAATCTCAGGTGGTTTCCTATGGCACTCAGGGTAAAGTGATGGTTTTATCCTTATCTTTCATACAAGGATTTATGTGGTCTGTCCTTAGTCTGTCTCACCAATGTCATTTGCTCTCAAGCCACAGATGACTTCTCTAACTTTCTCAGGAGCCTTTCCACATTTTGTTCCCTTCATGTTTACTGTGGGGGGGGTTTTGTCCTCCAAGGGATATTTGGCAGTATTTAGAGACATTTTATATTGTCACAATTGCGGGGCGAGGTGGGGGATATTCCTGAGTAGAGGCCAGGTGCAAGTAAATATCTATAGCACAGTGACAGACCTCATAACTAAGAATTATTCAATCTAAAATATCAGTAGTGTTGCTTTTGAAAATCTGTGCCATACATCAAAGAAATTCTTTACCCTATTCTGGCCTTAGAATTGCAGAATCCCCAGTAGAGTTGCAGAGAAATGATGGATGTGTGATTATTTGGGAGATAGAATTGATAAGATTTGCTGATGAGTTAGATGTGCAAGATGAGGGAATTTGGAGAATATATATTTGATATTTCTGTTTTGGGAAATGTTTAGTAGGTAATGAAGTCATTCTGTATGTGGGAAGACTAGAAAGCACAGGTTAGAAGGGAGGTGAAAATTTGGAGATGCCTATGAGACATACAAGCAGAGATTTCATATAGTAAGTTGATTAGCAGGCTGGAATCCAAAGAAAAAGCCATCATTTTTTTTTAACTTATTCCATTTGGGAACATTTTTGGCTTTTTTCAAGTTTTCCCTCTTATGCTATCACTGTCATAGCTTATTGAGAAGAACAACTACATATGTGTTTGCATATTATTCTATTACTTAGGGTAGACATTTACACAAGTGATTTGTGTGTGTGTGTCATAGTTACATTCTGATACCCTATTCCATTATGTAGCTCAGCATTGGCCATAGAGACAGTAGAGAAATGAGACAATTCATCGTTCTGGGCAGATCTGAGTTGAAAAAATAAAGTGAACTGCCTTGAATTTATTGCCAGTTATATAATTCATATTGAGATTTATTATTTAATCTATTTTAAAAGAAAGTGTATAGGGTGTGCCATATTTCAAGAATAAGTAGTGCCATTAAACCTCATTTTTCAGAGGTCCAGGAATGAGTTATATGAGGTAATTGTACAGTGAGTTTATAGAAAATCTTAGCCAAACAAAATACTTACAAATTTTACTTTTCACACATTGCTGGCTGAGATGCTTAGTGGGCTTTCAGTAGTTTGTGAAAGTGGCCATTGTCCTTTTTTTTTTTTAACCTAAGAGAAACAAGTCTTATCTTGAAAAGAAGGGGAATGGTAGTGGTGAGATCCTCCACCTGAAAACCACTAACGTTCTTTCATGGTAAATGAATCTTAACATAGGAATATACCACCTCTAGATTTGATTTTATGTCTACCTTTGTTTAAGTTAGAGAAAGGTTTTAGCATTTTTAATCCTTGGTGTTCTGTACATTTGAAGTCAGTAAAGACAAATATGGTTGCAGCACAGAAGCAAAAGACCAAATACTGCTAGATTTAGAACTAAACTTGGGTGCCATCCCTGGCCAGGGAGGTGATGTGACCCACATGGCATGGCAGACCTCTCTTGACCCGCCTGCTGCTCCCCTCCCGCAGTGTACTTTGTGTAATTAATTAATTATTTACTTCATAGCCTTCTGTAACCTTTCCTTGGTACAGTTCCATCCTAGTACATACAGCCATCTGACATCATTTATATGGTATGCCTAGGGAAAGTGCCTCATGTTTGTGATGCTCTCAAGTGTGTTAGCATCGTGCCCAAGTATTTGTTAAATGACTAACATGGTGAGAAAATCTTCTGAGCACCTTCATGCGCAGTGCTGTTGGGAAAAGTTTGATAACAGAGAAACTGCAAATCTGATTAGTTTCATTGCTCTGCAGCTTTTCTGGGTCATATCTTCTTAATGTGGGAGTCTTCCTATCAACATGAAAACATGGGTTGACTTTTAAAATTTCATTGGTGGTTCATTTCTTCTCATCTCTGCTCCAAAGGGACAGCACGACTTGGTCAAATGCTTGGCTCCCATTCGAGACCCCAAGACTGAGCAGGATGGACATGATATTGAGAATGAGTGTCTGGGAATGGCTGTCCTGGCTATTTCACATTATGCCATGATGAAGAAGATGCAGTTGCCAGAACTTCCCAAGGACATCAGGTATATTTTCTGGATAGCTCAGGAATCGATTATGAGATTGGTGTTTTTATTCTTCTCTTGTTTCTCAGTTTAACTACTCCAGCTTTTGGTTGGTTCCTGTCTCCTGAGTAAGCCCAAGTTTTATTTAGAGTATTTATAAAAGATAGCACAACTTTGAGTCCTGATTTCAAATGTATACTGATAACCTCAGAAATTTTGTACTAGGGTGAACATTCTAGACTGGGGAAGCTGATCACATTAGTGGTCTACATACCCTCTACTTCACCCCCTGCCCAGAGTGGGGCACTGCTGTCTATCACTGCACTTCCTCTTTTTTGCTGCACCCATCTTAAAATCATTCTCAATGTAGTTTTGCAGATAGCTACTCTCATTCCCAACCTGAACTGAAGTTACTGGAGAGCTGCTAATTCTGATGTTAAGGATGATCAGATGTTACCTTAAGAAAATAGTATCAACTTAAAAATACAATTTGTGGTTATGTTTTTGTGATGAAATATTCAACCTGTGTGATTTCTGTCAGTCTAAAATAGTTCTTTGAACCAGCGGGCTATTACTGTGATTGTCACAAATGAGACAGTCTTGTTTTTGAAGAGAAAATTACTTAGAACAGTTTTAATAGGCAGTCCATCCTTACCCTTGACAGGAACCTAGAACAGAACACATTTCTCCAGCAATACAAGGACTGTCAATAGATATATGCTAAACTGTGTTTCTTTTTTTCTACTCTGGGCTCCTCCTCTTTATTTTAAAGTAAAAAAATGGTCACTTCCGCTCTAATAGATTAATCTAAAAAAAATATATGGGGAGTATAAATTCCAAACTGAACCATTTTCCATTGTTGGGAATCTATTCACATAGCAGAGATTAGATCCCGTGGGCTGGATGCTTTCCCAGGCCTGGGAGTAATAAGAAGACTGGTTGCCCAATGAGCTGTTTCTTCTTTCATGGGTACTCATATTCTTAAAACTGACTTTTCTTTTATTAGTGTGTCAGTTTGTTGAGATCTGTTGTGAATTCTCCTCCATTAGTATCTGGATAGATAACTTATCTTTATTGTTCCACTTAATAGCTATATCTGGAACATGTTCACATAATATCTAATTTTTATGTTTCAATTTCTTATAAAAACAAATTTGTGCTCTTTATGGAAAAAAATGAAATAGACAAGCAAATAGAACATAAATCACCTATAATTACTCTTCACACTTTTTAGATTGCTTTCTAACACTAATTCTTAATTAAGTATGTTTATATGAGTGCTAACATGCCCAGGAAGTGACTCTAGCTAGGAAAAATAAAGATAAATCAGTGTTGCTACCTGCTTTGTGACCCAGAAAAATATGATATTTGTAGGAATTCTCATTTTAGTAAGATCTGTGGTACATATATTTTCTGTTCTCTTGTGATAACTTGTATTTTCTTTTCACCTACATCTTAGGATTGTCAGTTTCTGTGCTGACTCCATCTACAGTCCTCTAGGAATAGATGCCCTCTTCTCATTTGGCAATACCTAGAAGGAAGATTTATAGGCTTTGTTTCTAAACTATTTTGTCCTAATATACATATACTACTTTCTTTTAGTTACAAGCGATATATTCCAGAAACATTGAATAAATCCATCAGGCAGAGGAACCTTCTTACCAGGATGCGGATAAATAATGTTTTCAAGGATTTCCTAAAGGAATTTAACAACAAGACCATCTGTGACAGCAGTGTGTCTACACATGACCTGAAGGTGAAATACTTGGCTACCTTGGAAACTTTGACAAAACATTATGGTGCTGAAATATTTGAGACATCCATGTTACTGATTTCATCAGAAAATGAAATGAATCGCTTTCATGCAAATGACAGTGGAAACATTATCTACTATGAAGTGATGGTAACTGGAAATCTTGGAATCCAGTGGAGGCAGAAACCAAATGTAAGTGGCATATTGGCTGATTAAAACAATATTCTTTATTACATGTTTTTTTCTGTTGGTATTATCTGGTTGCATGTCCATCACTGTAGGCTGAGTTTATTTAGGCTAGAGACCAATGTTTTACTGCATCATGTAGAATTATTTAAGAATTTATTTAGTTATGTAGGGATATGGTACATATGCATTAACATGTAGTAATACTGTAACTATAGACACTTACTGAATTACCATGTAGTAAGCATTTTACCATGTACATGCATTTTATAGGTATTTACTCATCATTTAAAAGAAAAGTTTTTGAGGGAATATTCCCATTATCCCTGTTTTATAGATGAACACAAAAAAGTACAGAGAAATTAAAGTTGCCCTGTGTTATAACTAAAAAGCAGTTGTGCCAAGAATTGAACTTAAAGACTTCTGACTCCATGAAAATAGGATAGTGCTTTATAATTTAAGCTGCTTTATTGAAGTGGCTGTTGCACTAGAACAGAGTGGTTTAAGAACCTGGGTTCTGAACTTAAATAGACATGGTTCAGTTCTGGTCTCTTATTTAGAGTTATTACTTTGAGAGCATTACCTGTATAAGTCATCTGTTATCCATTTTTTTTTTTTTTAAGATTTATTTATTTGTACATACAGAACTGGGGTATAGGCCAGAGGTGCAGGGACGGTGAGAGGCTTCACCAGAGACAGAGTGGGGAACAGAACAGGCAGATCGATGAAGTACACTGCTGAGGGGAGCAGCGGGTGGGTCAGGAGAAGTCTGCCGCGCCATGTGGTCACCTCCCGGGCAGGTGGGGATTGAACTCTTGCTGAAGTGGCTTTAGTTTCTTAGTGTAGTGCTTTAACCCGCTGCACCACCAGGGAGGGCCACCTGTTATCCATCTTTAAAATGGAAATACTTATTGTATCTGCTATTGAAAAAAGTAAATGTCATTTAGCACAAACTGGCATATATTAAATGTTTAATAAATCATTATGGCAGCTCGTATTATTTTAAATAAGAGAATCCTTTAAATTCATACTAAACTAACAATGCCTAACACTGAGTGCTATCTACATATCAGATACTGTGTTGACTTAAAGGATCTTATGAAGATGTGAAGTCTTTGTTTTATAAATGGGAGAAATGGAGAGTCAAAGAGATGACCTACCTAGTTAAGTAACTGGCAAAAACAGGATATTAGCCCATATTGCTAGTCTGTAAGACCTAAACAATGCAAAATACTTAATTTTATCAAACATATGATTCCATAGATTATTTATATATGGGATTCATATCATCTCTTGAAAATTCTGACTTGAATATTGTTATAAAATCAAGACAATGAGTAATTGTAAAAGAAGAAAGTCCAATCCTGTCGAGTCACATTTTTTTGGGGGGGTCTCTGTTAAAACACATATATTACCGGGGGTGAAGAGCTCTCACTGTAGGTACATGTCAAGTGGGCATTTATTTCTCTTTATGAGTTTCTATTATAGATTTTAGTTGGTTTGTTCATTTTTGTTCATTAGGACTCTTCTAGGTATATAATAGTAAGTCTCTGTGGTAAGTCCCTAAATTACAACCCTAAGTTCACAGGTGCCAGCTGTTCCAATTCTTCTGTAAATCCAGACCTGCTGGCATTCTCCTCGGGTGTAAAACCTGCAACAGTTTGCTAGAAATTGACCTTCCACCAATAGAAAATAAGAAAACCAACTTAATTCTAACATTTTCATATGTATTTTATAAGGTTGTTCCTGTTGAAAAGGAAAAAAAACTGAAACGGAAAAAACTGGAAAGTAAACATAAGAAGGATGAAGAGAAAAACAGAATCCGGGAAGAGTGGAATAATTTCTCTTACTTCCCTGAAATCACTCACATTGTAATAAAAGAATCTGTGGTCAGCATTAATAAGCAGGACAACAAAAAAATGGTAAGTTTGCTTTAGAATCAGTTCAGTCTAGACCTGGTGATGACTTTGCTGAGGACAGTGGTGTAGCACATGCTTCTCAGAGTTCCTGTCCCAAAGAGAAAAGTGATGTGTATCTTGTTCAAGCCAAAAAGTCCCTATTGCTGGTATCAGCATTATCAGTACCAGTTTTAAAGTTACACTGGTACATTCCAGTGCCTTTGTATTATCTGCTTTAGAGTTTAATTCACAAAAGTTAGTAGATGAAGGGAAACAGGATGGATTAACATCAGTGTTTCCCACCAAGGGCTCCTGCATGTCCTCTCCATGCTTGTCTGGGTGGGTCCTTTGGGCTGGGGTTGGAGGGAAGTCCCAGTTTTCACCTCAGAAGACTGTTAGGCCAGTAGCTGTGGCCATAGTTTGCGGTCATCCTGATGATGGTAGGCACACCCAAGTAACTCTTGGACAGAAGAAGGGGTTTTCAATCTCACTTCCTCTTGGTTTCACTTGAGGAGGTAATCTAGACAGGCAGACCAGTTTGGCAGGGGAAGTGGGAACCCTACCAAAATAAACATGTTTGTGTTAGAGAAGTCAAGGCTGTCAGCCTGTGGAGAGAACAGGCTGGTGAGGCAGGCATTCTTACCAAGTAAAGGTAGTTAACACCAAGGAAAGAAAGTACAGGTTTTACTGAAACTTAGACAAATACCATGTTAAAAGGATAACACTCAGTGCTGGGAAAATATCTGGTGATAGGATTTAGGACAGGCGTTGATCACCCTTTTACACATAGTCATACATTGTTATTCCTCCTTTTATTTTTAAAATTTGTTATTTAATTTCTTACGTCATGGCTCACTTTCGTACCTCCCCTTTTAAACAATATGTATCAGAATTTATCAGATATATATCAGAATATATCAGAAAACTGTAGTGAAAAACAAGATGGAGTTGAAGAGTCCAGGCACATATCAATGGAATAATAGATAATAGAGGGAGAGAGAAATTCTAGATATTAGGCCATGTTGTTTGTAACCTCTGTGTTATCTTATTTAGGTTCCATTTGGAAAATCAAACTTATGACGAGGTGTAGAAACTGGTACAGGGTTAGGAAGAGAAAGTGATAGCTGTAGCCTGCGCTGCTTGTTTCCAAGACATTGTCTTTTCCCTGGGGCTCTGTAGTGAGGTAGAGGTTGGCACAACCATGATTTGGCTCTTCAGCATGGCCACACCCTGATGCATTGCAGAGGAGAAGCAACAGCCAGCTGGTACAAGTTTTGTGAACCTGCCCCATGCTGTCCAGGTGAACAGAGTTAAGGCCAGCACCCACTTGGGGTACCTGTTGTCCAAGCTAGACCTCTCTTGCCTCAAGAAGAAGGCAGAAAGAATTTGATCTTCCTTTATTTTCCTTTACAAACACTAATTCTCACTATATGCCAGGCACTTCCTATTCTAAATACCTTATAAATATCAACCTGTGAGGTGAGGCTATAACTATCCCCATTTTATAGAGGAAGAAACTGAGCCACAAAGAGGTTAAGTACCTGTCCAAGGTTACAATAGCTATTAGGTTAAATCACATGAAATTGCCATTATTTGGCAACTTTTGACTTATAAAAATAAAGATTATATAGATTTGAATATAATAGCCAGTAGAGGTGTTGAGATTTGAGCCCAGGTCAGCTGGCTGCAGGGCTTGTGGATTAACACTAAGCCTTATTTTCTCTTTAGTGCCTCACTTCCCTTTCTTTTCCCAATCAGGGTCTTTTCTAAGCCCAGGGTCTTTTCTAAGCCCGTCGACCTGGCAACACTTTGGTTGCTGTTTTTTTCAGGGATGGTAGTATGTTACAAAATCAAGATATCTTGATTAATCTCTTCTTTCTAGATCACCTTACCCCTTTATTTCCATTCAGATTTCTGCTGCTAGGTCTCACATATGATAGGTGAAGGACTACTCAAGGTAGACCATCTTGAATTTGCTCTCTGAGACTCTGCACATGGATGCCACATTAGATCCTAAAGGTCCCACCATCAGCACACCCTTAACACAGAGTCTTCTTCCCAAATTGCCATTCTTCTGGCAACTCTGCCTTCAATTGGCACCTTTGCTTTATAAATTCAGAGTATTCTTCTTATGGTGGCAATAGGTTTTCTTGCCTCTATCCTGTCTTGTGCTCTGTCTGCCCATTTTGCCTATTTTCCCTTGGTGATCTTGTCTTCACTGGTCTTCTTGTCTTTTTTTTTTTTTTTTTAAATTATACATACAGAACTGGGATACTGGCCAGAGGTGCGGGGCATGAGAGGACTCACCAGAGACAGAGTAGGGAGCAGAACAAGGAGATTGACAAAGTGTACTGTTGAGGGGAGCCGTGGACAGGCCAGGAGAGGCCTGCCACACCATGTGGATCACCTCCAGGGCTGGGGATTGGACTCGCATTGAAGTGGCTGTGGCTCACTTGCAGTGCTACTTCCTAACTCACTGCGCACCAGGGAGGGCCCCTTGTCTCTTGTCTCTGTTTTTCTCTGCTACTAGCCTATCCTGTTCTCCGATGCTGTGGAAAATGTTTTATTCTCAGATGTCATTTTGCCCAGGCTCAGATGCTTTTTAAATACTTTGTGAATCACAATTAAACTTTAGCTTTGCACATTTTCCTTTACTATGAGAAGTTTCTGGCTGATCCATAACTTCTCTCAAATGACCATTCTGCTCAAGGGCTATGTGGTCAAACAAAAATCCATTTGTCTTCACCTGCTTTTGTCTTCTCCTCTTTTGCCATCCCTTCTCCCACTTTAAGACTGATTCCTCCAAACCTCCCAAAGTCCCTTAATCTAGCAACCTCATTGTTGTGTCTTAGGACGAGTCCTGGATTAGAATCCAGAGTTTCACTTCTAGACCAATTCCACATGAATCAAAGCACCTTTTGATCTGCTTCCTTTTCTATAATATAGGAATAATGTTGATTCAATCTGTCATTGTCCAGTGTCAAGACCAGGGTGCCACTTCATCCTCTACTCTTACTCCTTCCATATCTGTATCTCCCCTACTTTGATTCAGACTCACTCCACTCTCTAGACCCAGGTGATAACTTCTCCATAGGTCTCCTGTCTCCTTTCCCCATACACAAACACACTATACCTCATCTATTATCTTTGACATAACAGATGGGACAGTATAATGAATAGAGTCTTACATAAATTCAGAGGTTATAGTTACTACCCCCAAAAAATGAATTTCCCTTTGAAGTCATGCATTCTCCATTTTGTTTTAAAGATCTTCTCCCTGTTTACCTCTGGATAGTCATTTGCTAATGATGGTGAACACGTGTAACCACAGTATTTCTTCTCTCTCACCAGGAACTGAAACTCTCTTCCCATGAGGAGGCCTTGTCCTTTGTGTCCCTGGTGGATGGCTATTTCCGACTCACAGCAGATGCCCACCATTACCTCTGCACCGATGTGGCTCCTCCATTGATCGTCCACAACATACAGAATGGCTGTCATGGCCCAATTTGGTTGGTTCTAGCATCTTTTCAGTTATCATTGGTGTGAAAAGCCCCATATTCTAGGGATGGGAAGTGTGGCTGCCCCAGACATTTGAGCATATTGTTTAGTAATTGGTATTCTCTTCTATCCCTGCTGTTGGTTGGTGAGGACTTGCTGTTATATCTTAACCTTGGGTTTTCTGCAGCCTCGCATCTCTTCCCTCTTATTATTGGGTTCTTCTCGTAGTTTAAAAACCCTTAACTCTGCACAGATAACCAAATGTGCTGTACTTCCTAATAGTTTGCTATGTCAGACACTATGAGTGACTCAAGAAAGATAGTATACAGATCAGATGTTACAATAGCACTTGTCTGAAAGTTCCAGGTAAATGATAAGATCAGAGAGCAAGACCAAGCCTTGAGGCCGCCAGGGGCTTTGCAGGATCTCTTGTCTCATCTGCTTGTCAAAAGTAGTTGTCCGAGCTGAAATGCCTCCGATGATGGGGTACTTAGGACTCAGTGATGCAGCCAATATATTATAGCTCTTACAACATAAACCTTTCTCATATGAAGTTTGAAAATTATTTGTATTATTTGAGTCCTACCTTTTAGAATTGTAGATACATAAATTCTTTATTTCAAAAGCAATTTTAATAGATGTTTGTATTTTTCTTAAAAAATAAATGTAGAGGAATGTGTTGGGGGCATTCAGAACATTCTCATCTTGTTAAACTCTAGAGAAATAACATTCATTAAAATATGCACTGTTTCCTATAATGTTTATATTTATGTCATCATCTCAGTTTTGGAAAATGATAATGAAAATGGTAATAGTTGTTTGAGTCCTACCTTTTAAAGCAGCAGGGATTTAGCTCAATTCTGCTTACATCTGACTGTCTTTCAAGTTGTGTTTCTTCTGAGTCTCTCTTCCCAGACCAGAATATATCTGGGGATACATCCCTTCAGGTGCCTTTTCATGTGGTGTGGTTCCCACTCCATCCCTATCACAGTTATCTTATAGACAGATAATTTGTTAGTAGTGTGTACCTTGGCTTGGAAAGGTTCTCAGACTCATGGGGAATTAGGCACAGAATTGCAGAGTAAGGGTTTAAGCAATTAAATAAAGTATAACCCTCAAATAACCCAGCCACAGGTAAGCTTCAGAGCCCTGACAGTTGATCTTCCCTAGGCCTGGAATACCCTTCCACCACAATACACACAACCACTTTATTCAGGTGTCACTCAAATTATCACTTACCCCTGCCCCCTCTGTGGTTTATGTGACTGGGGGGGGGGGGTCCTGGGGGTGATGGGTACTGGGCCAGGCGAGAAGGGAGGCAGCAGGACCTGGAGGGGGCATGTGTAGAGGAGAGGGGGTCCCAGTCTGTGCAGCACCTGATGCAGGAACATTGCCCCCCCCCCTCGCTGTGGCACCCAGGTCGGCAGTTGTGTGTGGCACATACTGAGGAGCAGCTTTTGAAACCCCCAGGGGAACACCATGGGCATCTATGCCCAAGGTGGGCAGCAGCAGCCATGGCCATGTGTCATCATGGCCCGGGGTGCTGAGGGCAATGGCCAGTGCTGGGGCCAGGGGAGGCTCCTCTGGGGGACTCACACCCCTGGATGGGGCTCCTGCGTCCTCCTCCCAACCGCTGAGGGCATCACTGAGGGGTGGAGGCTCTCTGCAAGGAGTCCAGAAGTACCAGCTGACCTTGAGACTAGGCTTTTGATCCCAGAGTTGTGCAGAGGGGGAGGGGCAGCAAGGTGAGTCCTGTGGTCTATGTGACTTGCCAGACCCCCTGCCTCCTTCACTTTCTTTACTTACTCTCCTAATATACTATGTTTATTTCTGTATCTGTTTCTCATCAGCCTACCCTTACCAATCAAATTATGAGTGCCATAAAGGCAGGGACACTGTCTCCTTTGCTTTTTCCTTAGCACCTACAGATGTCCTGACACACTATAGATACCAGTATTGTTTCCTGTTTTGGGATTCTTAGAGTAGGCAGTATTCAAGTTAGATCAAACTTTGAAGTATCAGTGATGGTTTTCCAGGTCTTGGAAAGAATGGAAATCCCAGGGAAGAGATCTACATGTGCAGAGGTATGAAAGTATCAGAGATCATGGAACTGTTGGTGATTGCTTTTTAACATGTTGACCGTATCAGCTGACTTTCACCAGAATTAGTGACCTACCAAGCACCACTCACTAAGTATAATAACCTTACACATGCATTTATTTAGCAACCATTCACTGCTCTCTCTGCACCAAGGCTTACTGGAATGCTCTTGTAACAACTTTTGAATCTTCTTTGGTCTCTTTATTCAGTATTTATTACTCAGTTCCTCCTTTTTCTTTTTTTAAATTAAGCAGCTGCTACAAGCTAGACATTTGCTGATTACTGGGGATCAGCATTCAACTCCAAATCCATGCCTTCCTTTTTCATTTCTTTCATTCATTTCTTTATTTGAATTCTTCAGGTCCTTGATAGTTTGCCTCATATCATTTTTTTCTTTTTCATTTTTTTCATCTCCTTATTTGCATTCTTCAATTCCTTGATAGCTTGACTGATAACATTTTTTTCCTTCTCATCTTCTTTTTGTTTATCATGATGATTTTGAATTCTCTATCTGGTAGGCTGAGCAGTTCTTCTATTTCTTTGGTGATTTCTGGTGACTGATCTTTTTGTGGTGAATTTTTCCCCTGTGGACTTGCTTGGGTTTTTGTTAGTCTTCCTTCCCCTGTCCTGTATTTTCTAATACTTTCTATTTGTTGAGACACAGTGTTGCTATTATTGGCTGGCATTCTTTCTGGATGCTCTTTCTGGGATGACCAAGGGACTTCCACACACTTCAGTTGTGGAGGGTGTTCTGAGCTGTGCTTTGTTTCAATCTCTTATTTTTCCAGCCCCCACTGTGTGGAATTGTGTCTGTTGTCTCTTGTGTTCAGCTTCTTCATTAACACATCTGAGTCCTAGACCACTTGGTGGAGCCAGAGACTCCTCCCAGTTAGTTTTCAGAACTGGGCTTGTTTAAATAGGTCTCTGGTAGAGAAGGGGTGCCGGAAGGAAAGCTCTCTAGCTTTCTGCCACCACACCCAAGGTTGTAGCAGCACTGCAGCTCCCACTGGCCCACCTGTTAATCTTTGTAACATTCCAATGTCCCAGGTTCCCTCTATGCTTGGATGTGCCGGTGGAGTGCATTAGAAGTGTTGTAGATCTCCCTACAGTTGAGCCAGTCACTTGTTTTGTTTACTTTCTGAGCACTGTGCAGGGCAGTACCTTAATGACTCACAAGCCTTCAGGCCTCTAGTGGAAGCGGGGGATGCTGGGATTCAAGGAGTGCCAGAAGGACTGCAAATCTCCCAGCTGTGCAGGCTGTCAGTCCTCCCTCCGCCCCTCTAGGGCTCTTTGTGGCCACTCCAAGTAGTCTTTCCCCAAGCAGTCTTTCCCCTCCACTTGGGGTTCACTTACAGAGCTGAGTTTTCTCTCTCTCTCTACCTCCAGGGCTTTACTGCAGGTTTTTTGGGTAGATGGGGTAAGCAGGCAAGCCTCCCCGCTGAGGCACTTCCTAGGGCTTCTCTGTGCTTGGATGTGCCTGTTTGGGGGTTGGGGAGAGTGTTGGAATTGTTGCAGCTTCCCAGTGGGTGGGCTTGTGGTTGATTCCATCTAACTGTTTCCCCCCTCCCACCCCCTCTTTACTCTCTGGGGCTTGTGAGCCTTGCTGGGCTGCACCTTAATGGCAAACAACTCTCCAGGACTCTGCTGTGGGGGCAGGGGATGCAGGGAGCCCTAGAAGGGCTCTAAGCCTCCCTGCTGCCCCAGTCACCAGTTCTTCCTTCCCACTTGCAGGGCTCTGTGTGCTCACTCTGAGCAGTCTTTCCCCACAGCTTTGGTTCTACTTACTGACCTGAGTTGTTTCTCTTACTTTCAGGGCTTTAGAGGGGCCGAAGAGCAGCAAGCCTCTGGTCTGAGGTACTTCCTAGGATCTGGGTGCTCCTGGATCGGTACTCCCCTATCGGAGCTCCCCAGTCCTTTAGTTATATTCCTTCTAGTGAGTCCAGGGTGCTCTGATTTGGGTTGAAACCCATAGTGTGTAAGTCTACAGTCCATTTTGAGTCTTATATTTCTGTGTGAGCTTGTACATAGTGATTTCAGCATCTTCACTCTGCCGCCATCTTGCCGGATCCCCCAAATCTGCCTTCCTGTTGTAGTTGTGCTAACTGGGGATGGTGGAAAGAGTCCCCAACCACTGCATCATGAACCTTGTCATAGCTGGAGGTGGCATGGCTGAGGAACTTGGAGATAAACATCGGGCAGCAGGTCAAATCCTCTTCTAGACATTGGAGATTCAGTCTGTATTGTGGCTCCTTAGTATCTCAGCTTACCTTGTTTATCATATTAGAGAGGACTTTAGGGAGGAAGATAGGTAATGTGATTGGCTGTTAGATGTGTGCTTGCTCAGAAGTGAGATATTCCATGAAATTCAGAATGTTCTTAACCTGATGTGGCTTCCTTTCCCTTTGTCCCTTTCTCCCTCTAGCACAGAGTATGCCATCAATAAATTACGGCAAGAAGGAAGCGAGGAGGGAATGTATGTGTTGCGGTGGAGCTGCACTGACTTTGACAACATCCTCATGACTGTCACCTGCTTTGAAAAGTCAGAGGTCAGTCAGGACATTAACTTGGACCAATTCATAGGGCCACAGAGTGTCCAGTCCAACCAAGAGCTGTTGCCGAGAGCACCACCCTCAGGGAGGGGGAGAAGAATATACTGGGTCATAGAAAATCCCTGACAAGGGCAACTTCTCTGTAAACTTTTCTCCTTATGGCCCTTTCTTCCTTCACAGACCTAATGGCAGGGATCTACAGTGAATCCAAGAGGAAACCAGTTCACTCCACCCATTTGTGAACGTCAATGTAGTCATCTAGAGTGGTTTATTTTACTCAGTGCTAAGATCTCACAGGCATAGAAATATAATTGTTGTCTGTGGCAGTCACTAGTATGAGCCTGTGCCAGGAATGCTAACTTAAAAGCCTGACCTAATACAGGTTTCCCCATATGGTAACCTTGGACATTTTAAAAGGCAAATTACTGATCCATATTTTGACAAGTGGAGATTTTTATTAGTGACTCAAGTGTAGCTAAAAGCTGGGAATGATGTGAGAGAAGTACTGAAGGATTAAAAGCCAGACTTTGTGACTTCATCTCACTAGACCTTTGTTATTCATATATATATATTTTAAACACAAGAAACGCAATATTTTAAAGAACAGTGAATTTTATTGAATCAGAAGTATTGTAGACCTCATACACCAGGCAGGGAAATTTCTAGAGAACTTTCTCATGATTGGATTCAGTCAAGAATGGAAAGAGGAAATAGCAGACAGAACACAGTGCTGCCAGTTGTGTTGGATGAAGGCTCTAGGGGCTACGACCCGTCTGGGGGTATTCTTATACAGACTGGACTCACAGCTGATGGAAACTCTTGGCTTACAGCTTGCTATAGTTGTTGCTGGATAGGATGCCAGTCTTATGGATCCACCAGTCTTTTGTTTTAATATTTTTAACACAAATGGGTGTCTGAGGCAGCCCAACTTCCTGGGTTGGTATTAACCAATGTGTACCAAGAATGTCAGTCACTAGTAACTTGATCTATTTGGTCTTCTACTTCTGTTTCCACTAATGTGGGGGAAAACAGGTGTCATAGATATGATTACTTACACTGTTTATTTTAGGTCAGTGTGCCAAGCATGTTACCTCCATTGTTCTTATTTAAGACTTTTAACAGTCCTGTGAAACAGGTGGTGTTACTCCCATTGTCCAGATGAAAAAACAGAGGCATCAAAATTTTAAATAACTTGTGTGACTTTAAGATCTTTCTGATTCTCATTCTTAATCACGAAAATAGCTCCCTTTGTGAAATTTCCCATGAAGGAAAACTTGTGCTCGCACTTCCTCTCTTTGACATCATACGTTTCTGACAGTGAGCCAGACAGCTGTTGCCTACACAGGCTGGCTCCCCTGAAGTAGATGTATGGGTCCATGGCTGGACTAAGGGAGTTTTGGATACATCTTACTACAGTACTTAGTAGTTCATAGATAGTAATATTTGCTAACCTTTATAAAGTGCTTACTTTATATACATCATGTCATTTAATCATGGCAGCAATCCTGTGAGGTTGGTATTTTAATGAACTTAATCTTACAAGTCCAAACTAAAGTGATGCTGCTGTAGATATCACTGTTCTGTTCACTTCACCTTCTCCTGAATCTCCTTTTATTAGTTCCTTACCTGTAATATCATTTGTTTAGAATAAACTTTTTATACTAAACCTTTGTAGATATGTTGAGATTGTGCAGTTTGTCTTTGCCCTTCCTCCATTTCCCATATCACTGGCATCTCAAAAAGGTATGGTACATTTATTTGCCTGACTCCTTTTCAAACAAATCGCTTCTGATTTTTTCCCTGAATGGCAGGTTCTGGGTGGCCAGAAACAGTTCAAGAACTTTCAGATTGAGGTACAGAAGGGCTGCTATAGCCTGCACGGCTCAGACAGCAGCTTCCCCAGTCTAAAAGATCTCATGGGCCACCTCAAGAAGCAGATCCTGCGCACGGACAACATCAGTTTTGTGCTGAAGCGCTGCTGCCAGCCCAAGCCCCGAGGTCAGTCTCCCTGTAGGTGTTTTTCATTGAGGATTGCTACAAATCTTTCCCCAACTCAAATGTATTCCTCTGTTCAGCATTTTCTGTAGATTAGGCTGCAGAAAGAGACATATTTAGGATTTGTGAGCCGAAATTTACTTTTTTACTTGACTAAGATAGTGTCTTGACAGTTTCCCTGTCAGTGATTTTTATTTCTGAGAAATATTTCTGGCACATTTATGGGCCAAGAACTATCAGATTCAAAGGTTCAGAGTGTATATAAGACCCAGTCCCTACATTGCATTAATTTCCATTAGGGGTACATGAAGTCACCACAGTGTGTGATGGGTCTTTTAAGCAGCACATATATACCTGCCCCTGGAGCTGCAAAGAAGAGAATGGCCAGGATCTCCAAGTCACATGACGTGGAAGGTTGCATGGCAGAGCTGAATCTTGAACTGCGTACTAGACAGTGAACAGGTTGCCCGTTAGATGAGGCCACATCCAGCAGAGCATGTGCAGGGACAAAGCAGCAGGCCGAAGATTTGAGAGGGCTGATACATTTATGTAGTCAAAGGGAAAGGTGAACTGTGGTGAACTGGGAGTGGAGAGATTTGGGATCATGGGAGACCTTGGATGGCACATGAAGTAGTTGGGAATTTATCCTGCAGGCAGTGAGTGAGGATCAGGTGTGATTGGAGAGGTCAAAGACTCACTTGGTCTCTTTTACGCCCCATGAATGCTGTCACTGTCTTGTAAGTAGATTAATCATATCTTTCAGTGTGAGAACCAGGACACATGGGGGTCACTTGGTCTAGTGCTTCACTTGTAAATGAGAAAATGAAGGCCTGGAGAATTGAAGAGGGGTTTGAGTTCGTGAACCAAATGCCAGATCCCTTCAGTATTGTTTTTTCACTTCCTCCTTAGTCCCCTGCAAGATTGCTTTGAACACGTCACATCATTTCATTGGAGGGAGTCAAGCCTCAAAGAAATGGCAGAGGTTGTTCCTAAGCCCTAATAAGTGTCTGTCGATGACATTAAGCAATCTCTGCCTAGGACACCTCTTGTTCTTTTTAAGAGAATGTGCATGTGAGGTTTTGCATTAGGGGGAGGTAGAAGTGACAGGACAAAAGAAATGGCTGGATTCTTTTTGGCCTTCTCACAAGGGAGTGACACTGAACTGGTGCAAGAGGAGGGGCTTGTGTTGTTGTTGATCAGATAGTTTCAGGCCAGTCTCAAATGTAGCCTTTGTTTTTGTGCTTGAAGACCATTCCACAAAAGTAACAGCACATATGCCTCTTGGTTCTGAGACTGTGAGTGAGTTAAAACCTTAAGGTTCATATGAGAGGAGAGAGGTTGTGAGAGATTTATGGCTAGTAGAAATGGTTTTTACTTTCCTAGAGATTAGTGGTTGTTTGAAATAGAGAATAGCAGCTACAGGAAAGAAGGAAGGTGGTGGCAGGTGGAGACTGCGACATACTTTGTTTGTAGGGTCCGTCTGGGAAAGGTGTCTGCTATAGACAGTGCCCCTACTAGCCCAGACCTGGGACTCTATACCTGTGGTGGGAGAAGAAAAGCAGAATTGAACGGCTCTTTCCTGGCTCCTGTGGAGACTCCTAGAACTTTGAATGTGTGTAGTGTTTGTCTTCCCCATTTGATTATCAACTCTTTACATAAGATCTGGGTCTCGCCACTCTGACTTGTGGGACACACAGTGCCCAGCATAAAATTAGTGCTCTCTAGTGTCTGTGATGTGAATTAGACATCACAGCTACCACAGTGCTGGTACCTACTAGTCTCAAGCAATTTGCATGCAGATTTGCATTTCTTTTCAATCACACATTAGCTCTTTATAGCCATTATAAAAATTAGGAAATTGGGGCTCAAACATGTTCAGTAAACTGCTCATAGCCACATAGCACATAGAGAATAGTGACAGTAGTTTAATAACAGTAGCAGTAAATGGTGGTGATGGGAATAGTAGACACTACCATGTAAGTAATGCACTAAAACATGGACACTATTCCATGTTCTCAGTCATTTAATCTTCAGAACAACCTAGAGTATATTATTCTGCCCATCATCTTTGCTCAAAATCACTTAGGTAGTTGGAGGAATAGTGGGGATATGAACTCACATCTTCTGACTCCAACCCCAGTGATCTTTTCCTTGTGTCACACACTTTGCAGAGGTATGAGTGCAGCAATTAGCTTAAGAATCTGGGGCAAGGAATTTCTCTTCATCCGGGGTGCAGTGAGTGCTGAAGAGAGGACGGAAGGGACTCAAGGTGGGAGAGTAAGAAGAAATCCTGTGAGGTTTCCTTACTCATGTCCTCAGAAGCCCTCTCTTTGATCTGTCACCTGAAAATTGGAGAAATGGCGAAATCATGAAGATAAAATAGAATGTCATTTTGAATTTTTCTGTATCTGTCCTTCTAACCACAAAGTCTTGATAGTCAGACCTCAACCAGGGTTTCTCATTTGAAATTGCAGCAAAACTTCTCATGGAATAAATAAAAAGCAAGAGGCCACATATCTCACTGTCATTTCTGTCAGCATAAAGCAAGTGTGCCATCTCTTGTGCATTGTCCAGCCCCACTATCCCTCGCCCAGCCTCAGGGTGACCGTTTTAAGGAGGAGTTAGAGACCCAGAGGATTCATCAGCCTAGTCTCTACTGATCCTCTCCTGTCCTCATCTGTGTAATCAAGCTTGTTGCTTGGTTTCTATATCTTCAGCTCTGACTGAGAATTTCTGTAGCTTGTTGCCAAGGCACAGGGGACCAGCTAGCACAATAAGGATGCTGCTGCTGACTAGTATGTAATCACATGACTACCAATCACGGAGCACTCACCAGGCACTGGTGTACACACTAGGCACTGAAGCAACCCCTTTACGTGCATTGCCTCATTTATCCCCCAGATGTAATCTGAGGAGGGGAAGCATATGGCCCCATTTTTTAGGGAGAAAATAAATTTATGATGGTTAAATGATTTTCAAGCCTAACACATTACTGATTCCTGAAACAACCATACAAATAATCACCCCATAACTGTACCCTATTTCAACCCTCTTTTCTGATTTTCCAAATGGCTCTACTGTCCCACCCGTCTTGTCTCCATCAGGGCAGTCCTGAGTGACTTGTTTGAATCTGATTTTACCCAGGTAACAGGGTAGTTAGGTAACATGATGAAAAATAGACTCTGAAAAAAGGAGTTCCCAGGTTATGATAACAGGAGTCTGTGCCTTTAGGGATTTTGTGGCACCCAGATTTGTAAACCCCACTGGGGCTGTGTATGCGAAAGGTAAAAGAGATGGGCCATCCCTGATTTCAGTGTGAATCACTAGTCTGAGATTTGTACAAATTGTTTAATTGCTCTGTTTTCTGATCTCTAAAGTGGGGGATAAAGAATATTACATACTTCACAGTACTGTTAGGAGGACAAGGGAGTTAAGGTTTGTAAAAGTCTTAGGACAGTGGCTAGCACAGAGAAAAAGTCAGAAAATGTGAACTTAAAAATAATGAAGACAAAGTGTTCCACAGGGAAGTGGTTTTTTGGTCCACTGTAAGGTAGCAGTAAACAGCATTTAATCAGTGAATTCAGAAAAGCCTTCATGGGTTCCCAGGTCCTGGAAGGTAATTTTTTTTTTTCCTCACGATATCTTTGAATTTCTAAGTGGTTTGACTTGTGCTGATCCTGGGCCTACACATTTTGTGATATGTTTGTTTGCAGCTTGAATTAATAGAATTTGTTTATAAACTGTACCGTGAGCAAGATTTAGTTAGCACCTCCTGGTGCCAGCCAGTACTGGGAGCCCAGATAGCTTCAGGTACAAGATTCACTTCAGGTCATCTGCTCAGTTCTTCTGCACAAAACCAGTTGTTTTTTCACTTCACTGCCTTGGAATCCAAGCCCAGCATATTGCTTCATCTTACATCTTGAGTATCACTCATACGTTTATAATAAATATGTTTGAGTGCTAACTATGTACTAGGCTTTGAGAACTGGAATTGAGATAGTCACAGTACCTGTCTTCTTAGAGTGTTTGTTCACAGATTTTAAATGCCATTCACTGTCCCTCTCACCAGTGAACATGCTGCCGTGTCAACCACAGGGTACCTGTGCTTGTCTTAAGAGTAGCTGTGCAAGATGTAGCTTTCCTTTTGGTTGGTTTATTTTTTGACAAGTTTTAGCTCTGATACCAGCCTGTGAGTTTACAAAGACAGAATCAAGTACTTACTCAGCAAATACTTGTTAAAGCACTAAACCAGTGAATGCACAGTCTGTGTTTAGTAATCGTTTTGACTCAACAGTCACTGGGATTTGGACCTTCACTACTCTTCTCAGATTTCTCCAATCTCATTCACAGAAATCTCCAATCTGCTGGTGGCTACTAAGAAAGCCCAGGAATGGCAGCCTGTCTACCCCATGAGCCAGCTGAGTTTTGATCGGATCCTCAAAAAAGACATTGTGCAAGTGAGTCATTGCTGTTCTTCTTGAGTTCAGCCTTGGTCCTGCCTGCTGATGGGGGAGTAGCCTCGGTGCTGGGAATGAAGTCTTAAGTTTGGCCATTCCTTTTGGAAAAAGAACAGGACTTCCTTTCATAGTTAAAATTGTTTAACCATTGCCCTGCCATCCTATCTAGCCTTAATGATGTGTGCCAAAGACACTTCTCCTTAAAGGAAGTAGGTTAGGTTTTATGGGGTTATCTAGGATTACAGGGTTCTTCTGTTGTAAGACCTTTGCTACTAGAGGAAGTTGGAGGAAATGCTGATAGTGCAATAAGATGTCCCTAGGGAATGTGGGCTGATGGCCTTTACTGTCCCACAATGTACCATGTGATAAAGCACTTGTGAAGTTCTCTGGGCTTTCTGATGCTTCTAGAAGGAGCATAATGAGGGGGCAAAAGAAGCAAACTTTTGGCCTGAAGGAAAATGGTCTTGAGATACAGATCCTTTAGACTGTTGTCCTAACTTTGCTTTGTTGGCCTTTTCCCCAGATTCTGTAGCTGTAGGTTGACTCCAGTTCCTTGTATTCCCTTTGACTTTGGTTAGGGGTGTGATACCCAGGAAAAATACCAGTTCTGTTCTGCATTTGCCCCCCGCTCCCAACCCCATACACAGAGCCACACATCTTGGGGAGTCTGAGGAACAGCTGCTTTGGAAAGAAGGAATCTGTATGGGGCTGTTTACTATCTGGGAGAGGCTGTGAGGGTTAAGAGGGAGAATCATGGTCCCCACTATACCTGAGGAATCTGGTGAAGGGTTGCAAGTATGGGGTGGGTTGGTTGCATACTCTAAAGTTAATCCCTGAAATTGTTGGGTTTGTTTCAGGAAATGCAAGTTCCTAACTTCGCCACTTATGATAAGTTCTTTACTAAGGACTGATCTTTTTTTTTTTTAATTTTATAATAGTTTATTTTTACATCATTTTGTACCTTTTTTTTTTTCATCTCAATTGTAATCCCCGCGGGTTTCCCATTACCATGTCACCCATGTGCCATCACCATAGTCCTGTGCACTTCCCTCCCCACCCCCCCTTTTTGATCCCATTCCCCACTCCACCCCCACATAATGTCTCTGGTCTATGGTTGTTCATTATTTTTGTTATTTTCTTGCCTGGTCCATTATACTCCTGCTATGAGTGAAACCATCCGGTATTTTTCTTTCTCTTTCTGGCTTATCTCACTAAGCATGATCTTTTCCAGCTCCATCAAAGTTGCTGCAAAAGACATGTGTTTCCTTTTTTTGGTTGCTGAGTAATATTCCATTGTATATATGTACCACATCTTTTTAATTCAGTCATCATCTCCTTTTGGGCATTTGGGCTGCTTCCATGTTTTTCAATTGTAAATAAAGCAGCAGTAAACATGGGGGTGCAGGTACCTTTTTCAATCAGTGTTTTTGTGTCTTTTGGGTAGATACCTAGGAGTGGGATTGCTGGGTCATAGGGAAGCTCCATGTTTAGCAGTTTGAGGAACCTCCAGACAGTTTTCCATAGTGGTTGTACTAGTTTGCATTCCCACCAGCAGTGCAGGAGAGTTCCTTTTTCACCACATCCTCGCCAACATTTGTTGTTGCTAGTTGTTTGAAGATGTGCCATTCTCACAAGGGTGAGGTGGTATCTCATTGTGGTTTTAATTTGCATCTTCCTTATTACAAGTGATGTTGAACATTTTTTCATATGCTTGTTGGCCATCTGCATTTCCTCTTTGGAGAAGTGTCTTTTTAGCTCTTCTGCCCATTTTTTGATGGGGTTGTTTATTTTTGTTGAGTTTCATCAGTTCTCCGTATATTTTTGTGATCAGACTAAGGACTGATCTTTACTGTTATCTTCCCGCTGGTGGTATAGAGCTGTGCCCAGAGACTAACATCACCAGAGGGCAGTATTCCAACATCTTAAATATCCTGAACCTGAAACTGTACTCAGGGCCTGCTCCTTTCCTTCCTCTTGAACCTCTGGCCAGATACCTACCACCTTCCATGACTGTCTTTCAGTCAGTGGTGATTGAGCATTCTTTGTGCCAGGAGTTGCCACCTGCAGCAGACTTTCAGTTAAGTGAAGGAGGCAGACTCTTTAAGTAGATACATTATCAAGAGACAAATCATAAGTAGAAAAGTACAGTAGGATGTGGGATTGTCACTGCTCATGGAAGGACAGCAGTGACTTCTGGGGAAGTGGCATTAAAGCACAGTGCTGGAGAACAATCTGTAAGAGCCGGGCAGAGGGAAAAGCTGGAAGGAGGCTGAGGTGGGACATTCGGTCCTTTTTGGGTTGCTATAGCATCCTAAAAGTATGGTTCCAAGACTTGGTCACTGGAGTAAGTAGCCCTTCTGGAGAAGAGTTTATTCTGAAAGCACATGGCGTTTACAATATGTTATGAGAACACAGCTTCCCATCATTTGTAAATTGTGTCATGACAAATGCAGCTTTAATGATAGTCCTAAGACCTTGCCAGGGGCAGGGCAGATGCAACGCCTTCTGCCCTGATAAATGATGAGTGGTCATGTACCCATTAGCAACTATGTATGTCCTTGTGCAGAGGATGATTCCCTTGGAATCAGCCACAGTGCAGTTTCTGCACTTAACAGGGGGGCCTAGGATGACAGGATAATGGAAACTACAATTTATAATATTTGTAGGGTTACTGTCAATAGCTTGACAATGCCTGAGTTTTATGAATCACATTGTAATTTCTATATATTGAGAATATTTAATTTAGAATCATTAAAGCTCAAACTGGAAGGGTCCTTAGAGACAGGTAATTATGTGTTAAAGACTTTGTGTAGATGATCTAATTTTCCTTGTACCCCACTTTTTTTTCCATTATTACCTTTTTTATATTTGAGGAGACCAAGGCCTGTCCATCTAATTTTTGCCTTGGCACGTGCCCTGCTCCTCTGTGGGATCACAAAGGTGAATGCATGTACTAACTTCATCACTGACCGTAAAGCCTAGCACCTGTGAACACACACATTACATGATGGTTGGAAAGCACATAATTTAAGCTGAGAAATGAGTACCTACTCTTGAGGGCAATCAAACACATCACCCCAACAGATTGGTTTCTACCCACTGAGTGCCAGGGAGCTTTTATACCTATTTCCTCCATTACTTCTTAGGACAACCCTTGGTGGTTCTGTTTCAGAAAGTGAATGGAGATTGAGCATGGTGAAAGGATGACCCCATGATGAATGGCCAGTAAGCAGCAGAGCCAAGACTAATGTGCCCCTTCTCTTTGTATCCCAGTCTGAGTGAAGGAGCCCTCTTGGGCTTCTCTCTGAGCCTTCTGTGGAGGCCTAATATAGCTGGCTATTCATGGTACTGAATGAAATTTTGTGATAGGCCAGGGTTATTTTTGGCCACAGAATATTTTGGAAGTAGAAATGAAGAAACTATATAGGGAGAATGAGGATCATCTTGGGGGCTCCAGGAACTTCCACAGCTGTGTTTGATGAAGTAACTTTTAATGCTCTGGTGACCTGAGGCAAAGATAAGGGACAGGAGGCTATGTACTGTTGGGGGTCTTTCGTCCTTGCTCCCCTCTCTAGTATTCCAGTTCTCATCAAAGTTTCACTCCCAGAGTAAGGTATCACTGCACCCTCAGAGAACAGTCACTTCAACCTCTTGTTTCCTCCAGGGTGAACACCTTGGGAGAGGCACTCGGACACACATCTATTCTGGGACCCTTTTGGATTACAAAGATGATGAAGGGACAGCTGAAGAGAAGAGAATAAAAGTGATCCTCAAAGTCTTAGACCCTAGCCATAGGGACATCTCTTTGGTAAGTGTTTTGTTGTTGTTGTTGTTGTTGTTGTTTTTGTAACCCCACAGAACTGGGGTACAGGCCAGAGATGCAGAGGGTGAGAGGATTCACCAGAGACAAAGCGGGGAGCAGAACAGGCAGATTGACGAAGTACACTGCTGAGGAGAGCAGCGGGCGGGTTAGGAGAGGTCTGCCACACCATATGGATCTCCTCCGGGGCAGGCGGGAATTGAACTCATGTGGAAGTGGCTTAAGCTTCTTAGTGCTGTGCTTTAACCTGCTGTACCACCAGGGAGGGCCTAATCCCTCCTCTTTACCCCCATTTCTGGAGTCAGTAGAGCACAGTGGGCTGGAGAAATCTATGCCTTTATTTTGATCTAAGTGTTTCCAAACTTTATTTTGATCTAAGTGTTTCCATACTTCTCTTTTAGTCAGAATTCTTTTGTTCAGATATAGTCTTTGACAAAATGAGCAGATAAATTAAGGTAGGGACGACTGAAGATGAAGCTGTTTAAGATCTTGGTCTCTGTGTATTCCTGTACACCACTTTCTCTCTGCTTCCCTCCTAGAAGTCCTTATGGGATGTCCTGGAGCCCAAGAACGCTAGCTGAATGGTCTGAGTCCCTGATGTCATCTAGGGCTGTCACTTTTCAGTCTGGAAAATTGAAGCCTAGAGGAGTAAAATTTCTTTGCTTGGATCAGACTCCTGGAGCAATAAAGTCAAGCCTTGACAGCTAGATGCTCCTGTCTTGACTTTCCTTTTATTCTAATACAGTGCCAAACATTGTTATTTCCTAAAAGTTAAAAGAAGCAAAAGTGGTTGATATGCATAGCTAGTGGGGAAGTTGTTAGCTAGCTTGTTTGATCAGCCTTAACTAAGTGTATCTTACTAGGTTTTTCTAAACCCTGCATTCCAGTCAAAATGGCTCTGAGGTGTAGAGACTTGGTATTGACTCTTGAAGTCAAGGCCAGGGCCTGAGATGATGAGAATTGTGAATTCTCCTGGGATCCAGTGATTTTCCTCTCAGCACTACTACTTTGGAATCAGACCAGTCAGGGGCTGGTCCTTGACATTCCTTTCTCCTGTTTTCCCACAGGCCTTCTTTGAAGCAGCCAGCATGATGAGACAAGTCTCCCACAAACACATTGTGTACCTCTATGGTGTCTGTGTACGAGATGTGGAGAGTAAGTGCTATCTTTGGAAGGGGGAGGTTGACCCTGGCTGCAGGATGTAGGTGCTATGTAACCAACTGGGAACTGATAACCTCCTTTGTGTTGCCTAGGCTTCTTAACCTTTCTTTTTGAAATCAAGGAATTTGAGGTACTGAGCAGGTTATTTGCTTAAGGGGCATGTAACAACTCCCATTTGAGTTTTACTCGTGTTTTAAATGTTTACTTTTTGTCAACCCTGGTTGCAGTGTTGTGCTGACCTGGGAGGTTGGGGTGAGTAAACTGAATTCAATGTCCTAAGAGTCAGAGTTAAAAGGTGCTCTGGGCAGGAGCCAAATTCAGGCCTGTCCAGCTCTACAGCAGCCATTTGCATCTCTCAAGGGTGTCTACGTCCTTCTGTGTACCATCTAGTTCAGTGGGCTCTCATCAGCAAGTGAGAGACAGTACTGTCACACATTCAGAAGGTTCCAGTTGTGGCTATTTTTGTTTGTAGATATCATGGTGGAAGAGTTTGTGGAGGGGGGTCCCCTGGATCTCTTCATGCACCGGAAAAGTGATGTTCTCACCACTCCATGGAAGTTCAAAGTGGCTAAACAGCTAGCCAGCGCCCTGAGTTACTTAGTAAGTATGCTATATTGTCCATGCGGTTCCCACCAGGAACCAGCATGTCCTAAGAGAGGCTGGCAGGAAGAAGGGGTTAACAAGCAAGTGGAAGGGGCCTAGGCTCTGTGGTTAAACACAGGTTTGCCCGGAGCTATGTGAAAATGGTCGTTTTGGGTTGTTCTGTGTACTTACATAAGAAGTTTTTAGCATGAGAGTCCTGACTGTACTCCAGTGTAAGGTAGGAGTGCAATACTTGTTGGATGAACTAATGAAACCAGGAGTATCAGTAGTAGCTAACATTTATTATGTACTCATCAGGGCATAGTTGTTATGTTGTTCTAAAGGTTCTCTTTCTGCCTCACTGATGAGGGAACCACGCGATAGAATGTGCCTGAGCACACAGGTAGTTGATAGGGTTCAGGCAGTTGTGTCTGCTTGTAGCTGGGAAGAATGGAGAAGTGATATGAGGAGCCAGGGTTGGAAAAGGGAGATGTAGGGAGGGGGAAAAATAGGCAGCCTGTGGGCAGTTTTATAGATTATAACTTTTTTACTCTGCAGGAGGATAAGGACCTGGTCCATGGAAATGTGTGCACTAAAAACCTCCTCCTTGCCCGGGAGGGCATTGACAGCGAGTGTGGTCCGTTCATCAAGCTCAGTGACCCTGGCATCCCCATCACTGTGCTGTCCAGGCAAGGTATGTCTTCTCAGACTCACACCTTCCCAAGTCACTCAAACCAAGGCAGTCAGGCCACGAGAGAGAGAGGGGTGTGGCTTGGGGTATTTCCCCTTTTGAGAAAGCAAATGTCTGGCCTTCCTACAGTGCTGTGAGGCCAAGGAGAGAGGGAGCTTAAAGAACGCACTGTGCAGGAGAAGATTACTTATGTCAGGCCACGGAGGAGCTGTGTTCGAGGTGCTGGGGTAGCATGAAGGCATTGGGCCTCCTAGGTTCGTTTTGAAATCCTCTGCATTTACTACTGAGCATTTGAGAGGCACTAAGCCCTGGCATCCTGTCTTTGGAAAAGGTTATCTTGAGCTACTGTGGAAAGGCAGCCCTGGGAACTGAGCCTCTGAAATCACTCTGCCTAAGTGTTAGATGTTATGTAGAGGGTGCTGGCATCCCAGCATTGAGCAGTGCCTGACCCATAATAGTTTGCTTAATAATTCAAAGAATGGACATGCACTCCATGAGAGGGGGCAGGAACACTCCAGAGTAGATGACATTTGTCATCCAGCCAGCCATCATCAAAACACTGAGGCAAATTTCAGCTCTGAATGTGTTGGGATCCGAGTCAGATAATGCAAATGACTCTAAACGAAGAAGTTCCCTACCAGCAATGCCAATAAAATGCTGTGGGCATTCAGGAGACCTCTCCCACCGGGGTCAGAGGTTGGTTTGAGGTGGTGGTAGGATTTCATCTGGGTCTTGAGCCAGATAAATGAAATGAGCCGCAGCAGGGTGATGGCAGGCACTTGATCCTAGGGTACTGCCTGCATTTGCTGGGCCAGAGGGAAGGTGGGAGAAGGCTAGGGACAAACATAAGTGGGCTGGCCTATGAACCCTTAGGAGTGACCCTGCTGCCGCCATTCCTAGAACTAAGCGATGCCATGCTTGTTGAGGGCAGTTCCATGAACATAGCAGGATTTCTGCTCAGATCACTGGCTCTGGTCTTGGTTAGAAAACAGAACGGGGGCCCTCCCCAGTGGTGCATGGGTTAAAGCACAGCACTGAGAAGCTAAAGCCACTTCAACATAAATTCGATCCGCAGGTAATCCACATGGAGCGGCAGACCTCTCCTGACTTGCCTGCTGTACCTCTCAGCAGTATACTTGATCATTTGGCCTATTCTGCGCCCCACTCTGTCTCTGGTGAATCCTCTCACTGCCCCTGCACCTCTGGCCTGTGACCCAGTTCTGTATGCATACATAAATAAATCTTAAAAAATGGAAAAACAGAACAAGGGCTGCAGAGATAGCTGGGTGCAGGAGATGTGTGATTTCTTTACCTTCATCTTTCCTTCCTGTTCTCAAGTGAGAAACCCAGAACAGACTGAATATATATAGCACTGCAGGACAGTTGTGCAGTGCACAAGGTTAGCTAGCGCCTGCTCTGCATAGGTTGTCCTATTCACCCCTGCTTTCTCTTCCTGAAGTTTTTGTCCCTGAATTCCCTATCCCCAGGGGGTTTGCCTTCACCCTGGGTCTTTGCTGTTTCTCAGGCCAGGGTTTCAGCAGATTGGCCACATGTCCTGCAGAGGAACTTGTACATGGAATGTCTGCTGGCCCAACTCTGACTACTTCCTCCCAAATGCCAGCGTGAAGAGGCTGAAAACCACACCTTTAATAAGCCTTCTAAGAATGTGTTTGGAAAATACGAGTTAAAAACTTTGTGTTAGCACACTGTTCTTGCTGTAATGACAATGATTTAATTCCCCAGGTGATTTCAGAAACTGATCTTTAAATGGTTCTTGTCTTTTTCAGAGTGCATAGAACGAATCCCATGGATTGCTCCAGAGTTTGTTGAAGACTCCAAGAACTTGAGTGTGGCTGCTGACAAATGGAGCTTTGGAACCACACTCTGGGAAATCTGCTACAATGGCGAGATCCCCCTGAAAGACAAGACACTCATTGAGGTGAGCTGAGTGATGACTCCTTGAATGCTTGCTTCAGTAGTCAGCAGGAAGTTTTGTTTTGGGAATCAATAGACATGAGTTTATATCTCCTTCAGGGGCTCACAGATTATGTGACCTGGAAAATGTAACTGAACTTTGTGAGCCTTGGTTTTATCATCTGTAAAATGGGGGTAAATAATAACTACAAGTGTAGGGTGCCAGAAGCCCAATGGATTGTTACAGCATTATTTACCAGAGGTTTGAGGTGCCAGTTGAGTGAAATTAACACAGAGATAGTTCCAACTGTGTATTACACATGGTCCTAGGTAAAAAAATCAGGATAAAATAGACACAGACCTTGCCTTCCCTTGAGGATTTTAGGATGGGATAGGAGAATTTGGCTCAATAGAAATATTTTATAAATGTATGTAAAACTGATTTTTAAAATGCTGACATCAGAAAATTAGGTAGGGCAGTGCCATTACCCTCATTTTACAGGTCAGGTAGCCGAGGTAGTCCAAAACACTCACCTGGATTTCTCAGCTACAATACAAAATGGGTGAGACTGGATCCACTTTTACATTTTACATTTATATGCAGAAAAAGTGGAAACCCTTAAACTCCAAAGGGATAAAGTAGTAAAAACAGAAAAAAACTTTTTTTTTTCATAATGTGTATTTCTTATATTTTTTTTACATAGTTTTTCATTTTGTACATTTTTTCATCTCGGTTGTAATCCCCGTGCACTTCTCACTACCAGCTCATCCATGTGCCATCCCCATAGTCCCATGTGTTTTTCCCATCCCAGTTTTGACCCTACTCCTTTCTCCCTCCCCCTGTAGAATGTCTCTGGTGTATAATTCTTTGTTGATTTTCATTTTTTTCTTTACTAAATTACCACTCCCACCCCAATCCCTTATACTCATGGGGCAGGCAAAACTTAAACAGGATTGTGTAGGATTGTGAAACATTCAGTGATGTGGTACTTCAATTTTCTTTGGGAACCACTGCTTGGTTTCCAATAGACTCTAGAGCAGTGAGAGCATGGAGAGGAATGACTGGGATTTAGGACCGGAAGGGTCATTTGTGGTCAGATTATTCAAGAAGTGAATTGCAAGCTGTGAAATGTACTGATAAAATGTTTGGGTGGAGGAGTGAGATGCTCAGACTCAGTTGTGGGATGGCTCTTCTGATAGTGGCTGGCTGGGCATGTACCAGTAGAGGACTCAGGCTCGTAGGCACTCTGTGGTTGGGATGTTTAGCACAGGCTTCTGGGAAACTGATTTTAATTTCTTTGGAAAGGAAAAAACAGTATTGTTTATTGTCACAGTTCATTGAGCACCTACTGCGTACCCAGGGCTAAGCATTATACATGGTGGAGGGGAGGATTAGACAGTTAGAGGGCAGGGCAGCTCATGGCTCCTTAATTCCATTCACTTCCTCCTTTGGGTCCTACTCGCACACCCCGGCCCCAGAACAGGGAGCAGAAGAGAAAGGGCCCCTGGGATTCAGTTACAGACTAGAAACTGTTGTCATTCAGATACTTGATTCTGAATTTTTCAAGTAGTAAACAATTGAAAATTCGGTTAATAAGGAGAGCTATTAAAAAAAAACAACACCAAATGCCTAAGTTACCCCTGGTCACTACTAACGCTTTGGCAGATTTGTCTGCCAGTCCACTTGTATCTCTCTTAAAATTAAAACCATGCTAGATATAGTTAACATGCATTGTGAGTACTTTCCTATATAGATTTACAAATGTAATGATTTGTTACTATTTACTATTTACTTACCAATTTCATGTTTGGTATTTAGGTTGCTCTCAAATTTCTAGTGTTCTAATTTTTTAGGGAGTATCTGTAAACATAAATGTGTTTATATCTGACTTATTTGATAATGGGAATTAGTGAGTCAAAGGGTTTGAAGATTTTTATACATATTGCCTGTCTTCCAGAAAGATTGCATGAATACTCGAAGTCAGCTGGTTTGGTACAGACTACCCTCCTTGAATTTGGAATTTCCCACAACTTGAATGTAATAGCCCACATTTTTTACATTTCCCTTTAGGTAGAGCTGTTGGAAATTAAGTTAGGGATCTACAGCTCTGGCCTTGGGCTATGAGGCTCGCGATGGTTCCTTTGGTTTCTCCCATGTGATTCTTCTCTTTACAGAAAGAGAGATTCTATGAAAGCCGCTGCAGACCGGTGACACCATCTTGTAAAGAATTGGCTGACCTTATGACCCGCTGCATGAACTATGATCCCAATCAGAGACCCTTTTTTCGAGCCATCATGAGAGATATCAACAAGCTGGAGGAGCAGAGTAAGACTTGTCTTGGGCTATTTTCAAGAACAGCCAGTGCCCTTACAGCAGATTGGGGAGTGGAAGAAATAACCAGGGTCTGAGTGGCAGTCCCCTCTTTGTGAATTTGTTTTCTTTTCTATTAGATCCAGACATTGTTTCAGAAAAGAAGCCAGCCACCGAAGTGGATCCCACACATTTTGAAAAGCGCTTCTTGAAGAAGATCCGTGATTTGGGAGAGGCAAGTCACTCTCCAATCCTCTGCTGACTAAATGAATTTTGTGCACACTGGACAGTGGTCATCTCTCCTTGGTTTTCCTTGAAGGGATAGAATAGGATGGAAAAAGGGAGAGAGATGGAGTAGGTATAGATGTTTAAGAAAAAGAAAAACCCTTGTCTCTCACTTTCTGACAGGGAAGTAGGGGGCTGAGGCTTGAAGAAGCAAGCAAGATTGGCACTTGCTACCTGTACCATTAGGCTGTGCAAGCCTGACCTAAATATGTCCTGCTGGTCGAGGCTGGACCTTCCCTGATCTGAGCACATGTATCTTTCCCTTTAGGGCCACTTCGGGAAGGTTGAGCTCTGCAGGTATGACCCTGAGGGCGACAATACAGGGGAGCAGGTGGCTGTGAAATCCCTGAAACCTGAAAGCGGAGGTAACCACATAGCGGATCTGAAGAAGGAAATCGAAATCTTAAGGAACCTGTATCATGAGAACATTGTGAAGTACAAAGGCATCTGCACAGAAGACGGTGTGTTGTGGGTTTATGAGCTGGGTGGGCCTTCCAGCTGTCCCTGGTATGCCTGGACACACCTGCCACTGCCCCGTGAACCCTAGGGCTTTGTGGGCGGTGTCAGGGCTGATGGGGAAGCTGCTCAGGCTCTGAACACCCACACTAGGGGACTGGACTTCACCTATCCTGGTATTTTTTACATGACAGGTATTTACTGTGTTTTTTGCAAGCCAGTAAAATACTTTATTGTAAAAGACAGTTCTCATCATTTTGAGAAATTTCCATTTGCCTGTTGATTCCAGAGCACTGTTACCAGATCCTATGCCCCACAAGTCCTTCATTTAGCCACTTCATACTGATGGCTGTTTTTTTTAAATCCTAACAGGAGGAAATGGTATTAAACTCATCATGGAATTTCTGCCTTCTGGAAGCCTTAAGGAGTATCTTCCAAAAAATAAGAACAAAATCAACCTCAAACAGCAGTTAAAATATGCTGTTCAGATTTGTAAGGTAAAGAGCACTTGAGATTAAAAGGTCAGGCATGCTGCTGTGACAAGGTGTATAATTAGACTGCAAATGGGGAAACTTCAATAACTACTGAATTTCATTTTGCATTATTTGGATGATAAATTTTAGACTCTTAAGAAAGTGAACTGATAAGAGTGCTAATGTAATATGTCTGAAATGACATTTATAATCTGAACTGCCATGCTCTCCCCTTTATTTTTTTCCCTCAGGGTATGGACTACTTGGGTTCTCGGCAGTATGTTCACCGGGATTTAGCAGCAAGAAATGTCCTTGTTGAGAGTGAACACCAAGTGAAAATTGGAGATTTTGGCTTAACCAAAGCAATTGAAACTGATAAGGAATACTACACGGTCAAAGATGATCGGGATAGCCCTGTGTTTTGGTAACAATCAATCAGCTTTCATAAATGGGTCAAAGGCCTTCCACTGTTTTCATGGATACTTTCTAGCCATGCTAGTATTTTGTCCTATTTGAGCTAAGGTTAGAGAGGACTGAAAATACTGTATATTTAATGAGGCTATTAGAAGGACTGACTCTGTTAAACCTGGAAAAACTGTACATTCCACCCCCTCCCCCATAAAAGCAACTATGGATACAAATAGATCTCACCTACTCAGGGATCCTAAGTCATCTAAGCACTGAGGCTGTACTTAATGCCTGGTACTAGTGAGCTATTAATTATTGAGCAGAGTTTAATGAATGAGGCAGCAGTACAACAGAAAAGTTCAGACTAATTTTTGGTTTATAAAGATGATTAAAAGATGTGAGGAAAGAGTACCTGTTTTCCTAAAAATGGAAATCAGGTTGGAATGTGGCAAGTCATGGAGCTAGAATTGCAACCCTAGACTTTAGGACTGAGGTAGGCTAGTGATTAGTATGATGAGAGGGGCAGAAGTTTAAGGGAATGGGACATGGTTTCCTGACTGGGTATCACTCACCAAAACAGTTGACATTGGAAGAGGAATGTACAGTGAAATTACTGCTGATTCATTCAGAGCCATCAGGCACATAAACCTGGGACCTGTCGTCACCTCCCCATGGTGAACACCTGCTCTGTGGAATGAAGAGCACAAATGTGAGATACTGTTTACTGGGATATGTTCTTTCTTTCAGGTATGCTCCAGAATGTTTAATTCAGTGTAAATTTTATATTGCCTCGGACGTTTGGTCTTTTGGAGTTACTCTGCATGAGCTGCTTACGTATTGTGATTCAGATTCCAGTCCCATGGCAGTGAGTGTTTCTTTTCTCATCTAGTACCCAGAATATGTACACCACCCCTGCCTTGTAAATATGGTGACACTTTCTAGTGTTCTTAACACCTTTGTGGCTGTCTGTATCTTGCTTTTTTACAAGTAGCCCTAAATTCTGATAAGAGGGCCTGATTTATTCATAAATGAAATCATCCTCACCAGCTGAGGCTCCTGGGGGAGGGTCTAAATGAGCTGATTTGTGAATATGGGTAAATTAAAACATTTTGTTTGCTTTTAATAGTTGTTCCTGAAAATGATAGGTCCAACTCATGGCCAAATGACTGTAACAAGACTTGTGAACACATTAAAAGATGGAAAACGTTTGCCTTGTCCACCTAACTGTCCAGATGAGGTATTTATGGGCTACTCTAGATTGTATAAAGACTCCAATTGTATATTTACCTTACTACATGTTTTGATAGCTCCTTGTGCTGAAATATACTTTGGTATTATTTTAACAAATACATGTTTGTTTCTTTGTTTTATAGATTTACCAACTTATGAGAAAATGCTGGGATCTCCAACCAGCAAATCGGACAACTTTTCAGAACCTTATTGAAGGATTTGAAGCACTTTTAAAACAACTACCATGAGTGACATGTAAATTCCAGTGCATATCAAGTTATCCTCTCCCAAAAACTTAAGTTTGTATTATGTGTGAAAAAGGTACCTGGGTCATATCCATGTGTAAGTACAACTATTCAATTTGGCACCAGTAGCACTCCATTTACTATCACAATTGCTTAAGATTTTTCAAAACAAAGTAACTGACCAGAAATTTGAAGAGGATTGCTTTTCTGTAGCTGCCATGGTATAGTGTTCTATACAAAGATGAGTCTATTCTTGTCAGCGGTAGGACTTAAACTTTTGATTGTTTCCCCAGGGACAGCAGTGGAATACATTCTTTGCTGCATGATGTTAATTTTTGAAAACTGTTGCAGTGCTTTTCTAAGCAGCATACCATTAATCAAAATTGATTCTGAGAACCTGAATGCTTTATGTGCTTTTAAGAAATATCAATGTGTATGTTTTTATAACTACCGAAACAGTCAAAATACACTGTTCCTAAAGAGTTTCAGTACTTACCATCCTTCTATGGTGCAAGATTTGAAACACCCAGCTACATGCACTATGGAGTTCAGGATCCACTAGTTTTCACTTTCTTGGAGGTAGCTGGGTAACTGCAATATCTATATAACCAACTTTGTTTCATAACTGTATCACCAATGTCTGTCTGTTTCAAACCTGTGGCAACTCTTTATGCACTTTGTTTACTCTTTATACAAATAATAAATGTACTAGACACTTCACATGCATATGCCTTTTAATATTAATTTTTGTTTTCAAACACCTGTTTACATAGAAAGTATAGCATGGAATCACCCCATTATTCATTTACAGTCATACCTATGCATTATTTATAGGTATACTTCTTAGAAATTACCATTCTGCTTGTCCTTTTCCAACACAGGTTAATAGACACTTAGATCAAGTAAAATTTTTTACAGCATACATCAGTGTTCTCACTTAAAACATGGTAACTTAACTCTACCAATTTACAAAATATTCTCGTTTAGCAGTCTCAAAAATCTTGTAACAAGGCACAAAGTTAGCCAGTACTTTCTAGATGGCAAATACCACCAGTCTCCAGGAAATAAGCAATTCTTTCCCATGTAAATTGAGTAAGAAACAGAGTGAGGTATAGCTTATTACCTCAAAATGGTTAAATAGTTACTTCCTAAGACTCCTTTAGAAGATGTTATATAATATTACACAAATGCATAATTATATCATGCTGTGGAGAGACAATGAAACTTAAGTTTTCTACAATTAGCAAAATTTAACATTTCTTCTCAAAGTATTTTATGCTTTGCAGACCAATATGTTCCGTCAAAGCTATTCAGGTCTACCTTTGTACCACAAAAGTACCTATATGAAAATGTACTTCATTATCATCCAGTGAATTTTTCTACACAAATGAGAATTTTATATACGTTTCCCTAACATTTAAAAATGTAACAATTCTTACCTTACAGACAAGTTTGCCAAGTCCTATCATTGGATTATCCAAAGCTACTTAACTTTCTTTCTCTCAAAATACATTATATATATACTTTGAATGTTATAATCATCACTCTGCCTTTGGGGTTGTATATTTGTGGCTGTTAATAATTTAGCTTGTGTGTAGCACATCTTTAAAATATTACCATCACTGCCCTTTTTTCTACCTGCATTCTTCTACTACTAGCATAAAATTCTAAAAATCTGTAAATCTTAGATTACCTCTACTGAAAGTAACTGAAATGTACATTGGCTTTACAAGAAATTCATTCTTCTAAGGCTTAGGAAACAACGTTTCCCATTTATTGCTTCAAACTTACATATGGTGTCAATTATTCCCACTCCTATAACAAGAAATAATTTCTCCAAATGAACTGTAACTTTATACCACATTAAGATGCCTCTAATTCTAGTGAAAATGTCCTCTATTATTGCTACTTATTTTTTGGCAGTTCTGCCTGCTGCACAACAGTTCCTTATGGGGAAATTACAAACCCGTATTTAAAGGATATGGCTAGTTTGAATGTAGTTAAGGCAGCGATAAACAGCAGAAATACTGCAAAGAACCTCATGAGGCTATAAGGTCAGAACTTAATTCAGTATACACGCTTCTTTTTTAAATAAGTTTCCATATAATACTTTCCTGTGCCCTGAGAATGCTGGTCAACAAATTCTACTGAACCACCTTCTGGGGCAGACACAAGATATGATGAGCCTCGCTTTTCATTTCTTAAAGATGAAACCTATGACAGAAAGAAAAATCAATCACCACTTATGCTGAACTGTAGACTTACTGTTCAAGATTCTTACTGTACTAACGTTTCTACATCAAAATTTCTTGTGAAACTTAAAAACAGTTGGGAAAAACAAGACCTTGCTCCCACTGTTGATACTGAATCGTAAACACTAATAATGCTCCAATTCAAGAGTACGGCTATGCTATCAATGAAAACAGCAACTCTAGAAAGCAATATAAACTTCCAGCATCTATCCCAGACACTGATTTTTAAGTGATAAGAAGGGCCAAAATGTTTCTTATCAAGTAAGATACATAGCCTAACCTTATCACCTAAAATTACCTCTAATTTAGTTTAAAAATACAATTCAAATTGCTTGTTTTCAAGACAATCAATTTTACAAGAGACAGGCAACTGAGTATTATAACTCTTTGTACATAAGGTAGTTCTCAATCATTCATGTTAAAAGATGGGAAACTCCTTGCCCAGTAAAACTATATGTGAAGCAACTCCCACTGCTAAGGAGAAACTACACCTACCTCAAAAAGCCACTGAGACTTGAGTCCATGAGATTGAAAACTAGGAAACCAAATGTATATGTGCACTGATCTCCCAGAAGAGGTTTACCTACATACTTTAAAAGATCCTGCCTAAGGATCAGGCTTCTAACCTGTTGGATACTAGAATATGGCTCTGCTCTTCCTCAGGTACACTTGAGGCCACGTTTCTTAAGTCACTAACATCTCCCTTAAAAGAACCTGTACCTACGGTGATGGGAAATCCACGGGGATCACAACTAAGATGGAAAAAGGCAGCAAATGGATGTAAAAATAGACTCATTAAAAAAAAAAAGAGCCTGTACCTACATAACTCAGTTCTCAGGGCTGCTTGCTAGGTAATCTGATAGCCATGAATCATACAGGAGTACAGTAAACAAAAAGCTTTAATGAGCACAAGGATAACACTATCTGACTCTATCAATGTCTATATGCCAGGTGCAGCAGGTGAAAATGCCTATCACCATTTCTCCCTGAGGGTCCAAATTCTAATCAAGCTGTAAAACCTTAGAACTATTAATCTAGAAGTTACAATGGCAAATGTTTAAGATCCAACTGGGACCTCAGGTTGGAATGATCAAGGTTCATCCTGTACATGACATCCCTCTACCAAGATTGCTATAGGTGGATATTTAATCTAAAATGTAGAAATCAACAAAGAGAATCAAGGAAAATGAAGAAACACAGTAATAAATCCCCAGCAAAAGTAAATGGAATCCAGAAATAGATTCCAGTGAAACAAAATGAGTAATTTACCTGATAGTGTTCAAAGTAATGGTCACTAAGGTCAGGAGAGCAAGGCATGAACAAGTGAGAAATTCAACAGAGATAAAGTATTTTAGAATGCCAAATGAATGACAGAACTAAAAAAGACCAATACTTGTACAATACAAGCACAATAACTGAAGTGGTTGAACGGAGTTCAACAGCAGGTTAGCTCAATCTGAATAAAGTATCAACAAAACTAGGTTATTTTTTAAGAGTTGGAGAAAAAAATAAAAGTGAGGATAGTTTAATATCAAGTGGACAATATACACATTTTAGGGGTTCCAGAAAGAAGGAGAGCACAGAAAGCTTATTCAAAGAATTAATGTCTGAAAAATGCACTAATCTGGGGAAAAATACACATTTAGATACCAAAATACCAAATCTAAAGAGGACCAAACTGAGGCACATTATAATTGTCATACAGTAAAGAAAGAAGAAAAGCAACTTGTCACATAAAGAAATCATTTCCACACTAGGAAGTAAGACATGTACAAGGTGTGAAAAAAACACTTATAAACTAACACTGTTCTTCAGAATTGAAGAAATGTGTTTTGTTTAACCAAAGCAAAAAGCAGCTTATTACTAAACTCACTTTCTGTGAATGTCAAACAATTCTTATGATGATGAGTAACAGGAAAACAAAAGTACAATAAGCACTGGGTAAAGATAAATTTATAATAATTTAATGGAATAATGGTGGGTAAATCATACAAAATTAAAATACCACAAGAGATACATAATGTAAAAAGGTATAAACTGTGACATCAAAAAGAAAATGCAGGGGTTGGGAAAGATTTTCTATGCATTTGAAACTATCTGTTTAAGACTTTTATGTGGTAACCATAACAAAATAGGAATCAAGCATTTAAGTACAGAAAGTCATCAAACCACAAAAATTTTATAAAGAGAGGAAGTAACAGGAATGACAAAACAACCATAAAGTAAGTAGCAAATTTAAGTCTACACTTCTAATTACTTTAAATGTAATGGGCCAGATTCACGAAGACATATAGTAGCTTTTACTTAAAAGAAAAAAAGTCAGGACTCTATGTTTCTATTTTGAATACAAGAGCCTCACACCTCAGCTTGTCATATATTTACATTGAGAGTTAATACATGCTTGAGATAATTCACATGTGGAAACCAAAAGAAAGCAAAGATAGCCATACTTAAACAGAAAATTAATCAAAGAACAGTAGACAGGACATTAAGAAGAGGGGTCAGCTAATCAAGAGGACACAATTGTAAAAATTTGTGAACCCAAATTAGGAACAATATTAATAGTTCTGGGAGGAGAAATCAATATAATAATGATAGGGTTACTTCAACATTCCACATTTTTCCATTAATGGAAAATGATTTTCCAGGCAAAATCAAAAAGTAAATTAACTTGGTATACATTAGACAGATCTAACATGCACAGTATTTGTCATAGGTCACAGTATTTGTCATTTAAGATGAATCAATCCCAACCACAATAGTACAACACTAGACCTCAATTACAAGGATAAACTGGAGAAATCAAAAATATATGTGAACAGTTCTAGAAAAACCAAATGTCAAGACATCAAAAGAGACGTGAAAAATTAACTTGAGACAGGTGAAATGGAAATCCAATCCAACATATCCAAACTTAAAAATTGCGGGAAAACCAGTTTTTAAAAGGTTAGTATATAGTGAGAAGTACCTGTTAAGAGAGTTCTTAACCTAATTTGAAAAAAGGAGCAAATGCCAAAGCTAGTGAAAAGACGGAAATGATGGTATGAGCGGAAATTTTAAACAGTGACTAAAAAGATAATAGAGAAGATAATGGAACTATGATGGCTTCTGAAGAAAAAATTACATTCACCAAGGAAAAAGACAAAGTTACAAACAGAAGGGTAGACCCAAAAGAAATGGATGAATCCCCAAACTGGATCATAAAGAAACAGGAATCTAGATAAATTACTGTTAAAAGGCTTGAACTGTAATCACAAACCTCCCACAAATAAAAGCCCAGGACCAAATGACTTCACTGATAAATTCTATAGTAGATTAAAACAACTTATACTAATTCTTCTCAGACTTTTACAAATACAGGGAATAACACTTGTAAATTATTTTATAAAGCAGGCATTACCCTAATACCAAATCATGGAAAGAATATTACCAAAAAAGAAAATTGCAGGTCATTCTTTTCTGATAAAAGAGAGTCAGAACAAGCAGTTAACAGAATTTAGCGTCATTTATGAGGCAAACTGGACAAAGTATGTACACATTTTTCTTGTTTCACAATAGGGTTTTGTTCCACTATACCCATCATGAGTTGAAAATGCCAGAAGTTTCCAGTACCAAGTTGATAATGCTGACTTGGAGCTGTGGCTCAATACTGAGGCACAGCATCATGAGAGAGTACTGGATGAAACAGTTTCTGATGAATGCGTTATTCGTTTCACAGCATCACAGAAAGTCACAATATTGTAAACCAACTCATTGTTAGTAACTCTATACAAAAGAATGTATCTCAACATATTAGTGATATAATAAGAAGGTGGCCACCAGCTGACATTTTTACCTAATAGTGAAAAACTGAAAGCTTTTTTTTCTAAGATCAGTAACAAAATGGCTGTTTAACAGTTTATTCAATGTACTTTGGAAGTCCTAGCAAGAGCAATTAAGAATGAAAAAGACCCAAATCAGAAAGACAAAGCTGCAGGATAGAAAATCAGTATATAAAAAAAATCAGTTGCCTTTCTCCATGCCAATAATTTATTATTGGAAGGGGTAATGAAGAAAACAATTACATTTATAACAGCATCAGAATAATAAGACATAGGAATAAATTTAACCACAGGTTCTCAAGATCTGTAACACTAGGAACGGTAAGATACTAATGAAAGATAATTAAGTTAAGCTAGACTATGCTGTGGGTTGGAATATTTTCTTTAAAAGGTACCATGTTACCCAGGGCAATTTACAGATTTAACACAATCCATATTCAAAATTCCAATGGCATTTTTCATAGAAATGGAACAAACAATGCTAATAAGTGTACAGAACTGTAAAATAGCCTAAATAGCAAAAGCAATCTTGAGAAACAAAGGTGGAGATGTGGAGCTACCTGATTTCATACTTTGTCATAAAGCCACCATAATAAAGACATGCATTGACATAAAAAGAGGCACACAGATGAACAGAACAGAAAGCCTAAAATATAAATTCATGTATCGATGGTCAAATTATGACAAAAAGCCAATATACAATGGGGAGGAGGTAGTGTTTTCAATAACCAGTGGGAAACTGGGAAAACCTGACAATTGTGTAAAAGAAAGAAATGGCACCGTTATCTCTATACCATACATAAAATGAACAAAATGGACCAAAAACCTGAATATAAAACCTGAAGCTATGGAATTGCTAGAAGAACATAGGCAGTAATCAGCTCCTTGAAACTAGACTTAGCAATCATGTTTTAGATGGCAAAGGCAACAAAAGTTAAAAATAAGTGGGACTACAGCAACCTAAAAAGCCCTGCACAGCAAAAAAAGTTTCAACAATAAGAAAAAGTCACCTAGCAAATGGGAGTCAATAACTTCATATCTGATATGGAGTTTATATCCAAAATACATTTTTAAAATATTTTTCCTTTTATTTCATATTTACAGGATATATCCATTCCTTCATATACTACCTACAGGAAGC